ATCTCAAGTCATATTCAATTTATTAGCCCTCGTTCCACTTACACACCTAGCACTTTTTTTCCTACGGGCGATTTTCCTAATCCCTATAAACAAGTACTCTTACCCCTAAGCTACTGTCTCCTCTAGTTTCCACCCTCTTTCTCCTCTCCTTCACAGCCAGGTTTCTTAAGAGAGAAAGGATGCTCCTTGAACTTCCTCTCATCACTGCTCTTGCATGAGTCCCAATGATTTCCTGGTTGCCGAGTCCAAAGGCACCATTCAGTCCTTATCTTATTTAGTCTTTTTGCTTTTGAATTATTGTTCCCTCTTCCTGGTTTCCTCTTACTTTCCTGATCATCCTAGACTCAAGTCCCCTTTATGGAGTCCTCTTCTTCCTTCTTCTCCATAGAGGTTGTCAATGGATTAATAAAGTGGGGTGAGAGGGACTCTACTGTGCACTTATAGGATTCTCCTTGGTCCAGAAGATGCTAGAGCCTCTTAACCTGAATCCTGTAGTGCCCCTCAGCCAGAAAGTGAAAACAAATGCCATGGTTGGACGCCTCCAAAATATTTGTGAAAATCCTTGTCTCAAGAACAGAAAAATAAGCTCTGCTTTAAATATTACAGCTGTAATTTAATGTTGCGTCTTGGGTTCCCTTTGTTTGTCTTCAGTCCCTCACTCCTACGAGCCTAATGGGAATTCTTAACCTTCCTAATCTCTAATTTATGAAGCGCATTGTTTTAAGCATTTATTTATTTAGCCTTCAGGCTTGTATTTTGAAAACCCGACATTAACTTATTGGTGGTTTGCTTGGCCCAGCCTCTCTACCATTCTGCTTCCAAGAGGCCTTTTTGGCTGGTATTTAGTTTTTCATTATATAAAAGTATTACATTCACTTCTTTTTTTATCTGAGAAAATTGTAGAAAAGAACCCGGTAGGCCCCCTACCCAATCACAACCACTATAAATGTTTGATATCTTCTCATTCTCTCCAGCCCTTCCCCCAATTACTTCTGGACCATATTCTAATTGGAGTTCAGAGCCTGATCTGGAAAGTTTTTGTGTCAACACATGCCATGTGCCTTGGCAGTTTGCTAAGTCTGAGAAACTTCAGGAGGCATTTTTTCCTTCTGACTTACCCATGTGTTTCACTTAGATTCTTGGAAACATATTCCTCTGTGCAATATGGGTATTAGCCTCCGGCTTCAAGTAACAGAAAATTCGATTCAAACTCACATCAACAATAAGGAAAAGTATTGCTTCATATAACTGCAAGCCCAGGAAATAGGGCAGGATTCAGGGGCAGTTTAATTTAGTGGCTCTGGATCTATTTCCTTGTAATGCCCTGAGAGGGCCTCCTATAGGTGTTGGCTTTGACCTTGAGCTTCTTTCTTCATGGAGGCAAATGGCTGCAGCAGTTACTGGTCTCACATGGAGATGCCATCAATGTGGGTGAAGTTCACCTAAGAGCAATGGAACTTCTTTCCTGGAAACCTCGAGCATAGTTCTTGTCACGTGCCTATTCATGACCCAACCCCTAGTCTCAAGTCAATGCTACACACTGATTCTGGCCAGGGTTCCTGAACAAATTATTGGCCGGGCGGTGGAATTACCCTTAAACTGGGCAGTCCCAGATGCGTACTGGGACACAGAGGGTATGTAGGGAGGGGCAGATGCCTAAATAAAACAGAATTACATTAAGAAACAGAGGAGAAATAGAGATCAAACAGAAAACCATACATGAGTTTAGAAACTAGGTCATTTAGTCAGGCCGGTGTGGCTCAGAGCATAGACCTATGAACCAGGAGGTCACAGTTTGATTCCCGGTCAGGACGTGCAGGAAGCAGCCAATCAATGATTCTTTCTCATCATTGTTTCTGTCTCTTTCTCCCTCTCCCTTCCTCTCTGAAATCAATTTTTAAAAAAATAAAAAATAAGAAACTTGGTCATTTAAGTCAATTGATTTACAATTTTTTACTTCTTTTATTACATTTTTAAAAGTTTTAATAGGTGATAACTTCACACAGTTCAATATATAAAGAAACACAAAAAGGATATACAGTGAAGCATTTTTTCACTGGTGACCCCAGCCAAACAGAGATAGTTTATGTACATATAAGGGAAAAAATTATATACATATACATACACACTCTCTTTTTGCACACAAAGTCTAGCATGCTATACACATTGTTGTGCACCTTACTTTTTCACTTAACAATATATATTGATGATTATTATGTCAATACATAAAGAGCTTCATCACTGTTTTTTTTTATTGCATTGTATTATATTGTATGGATATGCCACTATTTAATGCCTGCGGATGGCCATTTAGATGGCTAATACTGTTTTGCTCTAAAAAACAATTATGTGTACATTTGGGGAATATCTGAAGCATAAATTCATAAAAGTGGATTTAATGTCAAATTGCTCTTTCTAGCTGTTGCCAAATTGCTCTTTCTAGCTGTTGCACTAACTTGTACTCCCACTGGGAGGGTCTGAAAGTGCCTGTTTCAGAACACCCTTGTGGGTTTGTTGTTTTTTTTTTTGGTTTTTTTTTTTGCTAATTTGATCATCAAAAATTAATATCTTAGTGTCATTTGAATTGGATATTTTTCTATTGTGAGTGAGGCTGGCCTACTTTTATGTGTGTGGGAGCCATTGTGCCTCTTCTTCCAGGCCCTGCCTGTTCACATTTTTTGCCCAGGTTTCTATTGTTCTGTTGGTCTTTTCCTTTCTGATTTGTAGGAGCTCATATGTGAAGGGCAATTAGTCTTTCCATCCAGTTTGTCATTTGTCTTTCAACTTCGCTCATGGTCTTTTTTATGCAGAAAATTTTAATGTTACGAGATTGAATATATCTATCTTTTATGGTTCTGGATTTAATGTCATACTAGAAATGCCTTCCCCACTCTAAGGTGAATAACTCTCTTTTAGTTTTATTTTCCTCTAAAAGAGAAGATGGTTGCATTTTATATATTTTAATATTATATCTACTCGGAATTTATCCTGGTCAGGGGTGAGAAATAATTTAACTTTGATTCCTCCCCGCCCCCCCCCCCCCGCCTTGATATTGATTTTAAATTCATGCTATTTCATGGGGATGCCCTTTTTTGTTTTGTGACACTCAAGGTATTTCCAATATTCTCTACAAATGATTAAAAATCCAAGGTTGGGAGGGTGGGGAGATGACGAGGTAAAAAGGGCTTGAAATCAGACAAAGAATAATGTTTGTTGCATTTTCATCATGTGCGTACTCAGGGTATGCGTTCACAATATAAACAATTAAAAACAATAAAGTGTGGCTTAAGTGATTTAAGTCACTTAAAACTGCCGCATTTAATGTTCTAATTATTAACATAGGCTTTTTTAAGACATGGCACGATGAATCTCCTGCAGCATTCTGGCTCCTCTGTGCACTCTGAGATGCTGCTGAGCCCCAGAGTCATAATCAAGAGGTGGCCCACCATGAGGTATGGAGCCCCCTCCAAGGCTGCCCATGGAGAAGGGAGCCCGGCAGCAAAGACAGAACAAAGACACATCTTGGTTCCTTAAGCTGCGGATTTAGGCAGTTGGACTGGCCAAATCCATATTCCCAGGGACACTCTACCCAACTTCCTTTCGCTGCACGGAGAATGTCATATGCACTGACTCTCCAGTGAGGTAGAAGCTAACACCTGCCCACAGCAACAGGTGTCATGGTCACAGCTGAGTAAAAATCCTTTGAGAAGTACAAACAGACTGTCGGCTGTCGCACTGGCGAATCGCATTACTTCTCCGTTTTTTGTTTACTTCTCCGTCTTTCCCAGGAGACTGGGTGTTCTTGAAGGCAGAAGCTCTTTGTCGTCTCTGAACCCGGTAGCTTAGTACACTCACCCCGCTCTATAGGAATGTGCCCCTTGCATGCTTTTCTCCTACGTGGGCAGTTCCTTATATATCCCACTCTTCAAAACTCACCATTTGTTGAGGAGCTTCCAAGGTCAGCCACTCAACTGGAAAGCACTTCACATGCATTACTTTTTACAATTCTCACAACAGCTCTATGAAGTACATACTGTATCCACCTCCCCACCACATCCCCCCGCCCCATTGTAATAGTGAGGAAACTAAGGAACAGAGGTTAAGTGACTTGCCTAAAGTCACACAGATAGTTGATGGGGGAGTCAAGATTCAAATCCCAGATGATCTAACTCCAGTGCCCACCGCTCTTTACTGGAACATCAATCACATTGTTTCTCCCCAGTCTGTTGGGAAGAAAAAAAATTCTTTGTAAAACAAGAACTTACAATTTTGCCTTCTAGAACAGTTGTCATAATATACCCAGGGGATATGGGGGTTTTTCAGTGATTACTGTTGTTTGTGTAGGAACAATCAGGAATTTCGATGCTCCTATTTGAGTCATCCCACTCTCACCCCACCGAGGGCAGAGGAAAAAGAGAGTGAAACAAAGAAGGCAAATTGCTTTACATAAGAAAGAAATAGGAATTGTGAGTTTTGAGCTGGCCTTTCAGGTGACAGCCTAAAGGACAGCAGGGTGAGATGTGAGAGGGTGAGGCCCTCTGGCAACTGGGTGGGACAGTTAGACCTAATGCAAGGTCATGGCCAATGAGAAATTTCTTGCAGTGAGGAAGACGAGACATTCACAAATAAGCCTGGACAACAGCGCAATTGTTATAATAGTTTGCAACCCACCATAAGCATATGTAAGAGGTATTTGGCCAGGATTTGCAGCGAGGGAGGGAGAAAACAGAATGGTGTCCAACCTGGAGCCAAATAACCCTGGGAGGAGGGCAGCAGATGCCCGAGCTGTAAGCAACAGTTTGGAACAGGCAATAGCAGTGAAAAAAGCAAAGAGTATCAACAGCCCACTGCTAAAACAAAAAAACACCTGAAAACCCACAGGAAATATTGGGAGTGACTTTCCACCGAGGACTGGGGACTTCCGCAAAACTGACTTCTAAAAGCTCAAGGACAGAGGGATGGCGGGGGATAGTAACAATCGTTTTTTCCTCTTCTATGATCGAATCACCTGCATCAGATATCAATTTCTACCCATATGCTTATCATGTTAGTTTCAAGGGTCCTTAACCTCAGCTCTGTTGCCACTTGGGAGTGAACAATTCTTTGTTGTGGGGCCTGGCTTGTGCACTGTAAGATGTGCAGCAGCATCCCAGATGCTAATAGCAGTGGTATACCAGTCCCCACAGTGAAAAAATAAATGTCTCCAGACATTACCAAGTGTCCTCTGGGAGGCTGGGGGAGCAGGAGGACAAAAATCACAACAGCACTATGTTTTGTAAAAAAGGCTCCTAGCCCTAACCGGTTTGGCTCAGTGGATGGAGCGTTGGCCTGTGGACTGAAGGGTCCCAGGTTCGATTCCCGTCAGGGGCATGTACCTTGGTTGCAGGCACATCCCCAGTAGGGGGCGTGCAAGAGGCAGCTGATCGATGTTTCTAACTCTCTATCCCTCTCCCCTCCTCTCTGTAAAAAATCAATAAAATATATTTTTTAAAAAAGGCTCCTATATGTACTTCAAGTGTTTCTACTAAGTCCCACTAAGTGGTACAGCACTTCTTCAATATTGTTTACATTATATTTGCATAATAATAGTGTTTACAGGTAGCCTATATTACAGACATAGTAATAATGTATTCCTACTAATAGAACACTGTAGTTCTAACATTATGTACAAACAAGAATGGAGTTGGTTATAGGAGTTTTCCCTATAAGCAAACGTCTATTAGATTAGTGCGTTAGGATTCAGTTCCTCTGAGCAGTATCCGTCCATGGTCAGATCTATCGGGAAGGCTGCATGATGAGCCACGGGATTCACCACTTTTGTCTTTGGGAGAAATTCAAGAGGAATGACATTCACACAAGCAAAGCACTCTCATGGCAGGACCCAAAAGGAAACTGGTGAAACCTAGTATTTTGCAGGGACGTAAAGCAGGTGCAATAATTTATAATCATGTCAGCTACTATTGTCTCCCCAGGCATAGTCTTTCTTTGCTATTGCACAGTTAAAACTGATATGTATGATTTCCCAACTAGTTGACTGCAATCTGACCCATCCTCCTTGCTCAGAAAGCACATTTGAGCCCTGGCCAGTGTGGCTTAGTGGCTGGAGCATCAGCCCATGCACCAAAGGGTCTCAGGTTCGATTCCAGGTCAGGGCACATGCCCAGATTGTGGGTTTGATTCCTGGTCAGGGTACATGCGTGAGGCAACAGGATGTTTCCTTCTCACGTCGATGTTTCTCTCTCTTTCTCTCTCTTCCTCTTCCTTCCTCTCTCTCTAAAATCAATGAAAAACATATCCTCAGGTGAGAATTTTTTTTTTAAAGCACATTTTAATACAAGAAAATGAGAGAGACGTTACCTGCTCTGATTTATTATTTTAAAACATATCACCACCAGATCTAATTTTTTTTGTTAATGACACATTATTCTGTGACACATCTCACAACTGATCGCCATGCAGTGGAATAGAACCTCTGGTTTATCGGGAAGGATGCAGGACTGGGGCTCAGACTGGGTTCATTTCTGGATTGCAGCTGATGGACTGTTGCTTAAGAAAGTGAGTCTATTTCCTCATCCGCAGATAATAAAATAACAATGAAATCACCCCCTTTTTCTCAGTCTTGTTGAGAAGATTAAATAAGGTTTAAAACAATCTGCTGGAAATTGCTACTCTCGTGTCAATCATTGTCATTACCTCCTACCACCAGCAGCACCTTGCACAGATCACCAAGTCTACACGACAGCCCTGTGGGGTGCCTGGTTTTTTCCCACTACAAGCCCACAGAAAAGCCTGCTCAGTGGTGTGGTACATTCGTTACTCTCTTAAGGTGAAAAGATCATTTCTCTAAATTGGGGTGAGTTGATATACCTTTGCAAACCAAATGCCAGGTCTGCTTAAGCAGCTGCTAAAGGAAAGAGATGAGCTCAGCTCCTGTTTCTTGCTGCTCCTGCAGAGTAAACCGGCAGCTCCGAGCCAAGATTCTCTGACACCAGTTCCTTTCTCAGCATTATAGGCCAGTATCCTGGGACCTGACACTAACCATTAGGAATTTCTTCAGTGGCAGCAGACAGAAAGGCAACCGCCAGTGTGAAAGAAATACGTTAAAACTCTCTCTCTTCTCTCTCTCTTTTTTTTTTTTACAGTAAAAGTCATGAAGATAGATGACTCTGCTGGGTTGACTCATACCCCTCAATATAGAGAGTAGTCAGCCTGCTGGTGACTCTCCTTCTGATGATGCTAAACAGGTGACCTATTCTGCCAACAAGGGGGTCCAGAGAGGTTGGAACACAATGTGTATCATGATGTCCTCTATGGGGGGGGCAGGGGGGGGGCGAATTGGCTAAGGCTCCAAGATCCCAAGGGTTTAAATTAATAGGAAAATATGATTCAATCGCAATCATGAAACAAATGGAAGGGAAATGAGGAGTTGGAGGGATATGGGTGGGGAGCGTAGGCAGGAAGCACATAGGAAAACGCCCGGCAGGCTTGCAATTGGCACTATTGCCAGTCAAGGTGAGACGAGTGAGGAAGCTGAGACAGACTCAGCTGCGGATACAGAGGCTGGGAGCTACCTCCACAGCCATTCTGATCGAGTTCTCTTATCAAGCCAACTCCACTTCCTTTCTTTATCTTCTGCTTTCTCAGTGCTCACGGCCGTGTTGCTAGTGGCTTCCCCTGCAGGAATGAGAGGCTCTCCTGTTCCTGCTTGGCTAGGAACGGGATGAGGAAGAGATCTCGGGCGATCCTACCCTCTCTCCACCCCCATGAACATCTCCCACTCCCAATGCCCAGAATTGGCTCTTCTTTGCTCGCAAAAATTCAAACCATTTTCCAAAGCTCACCTCTTCCATGAAACCTTCCGTGACCTCTCCAGTCACAGGATTTTTTTCTTTTTTTCTTAACACCTACAGCTTGTACCTAACACAGAAATCACCAGAGACATATTTCCTCTGTCTCATATGTGCTATCCTCGCTTCCTACATAGATTATACGGTCCTTGAGGACAGGAACCACATCTTAAACTTCTGGAAGTCACATGCCCAGGTTCTATGATTTGGCAGGTAACGCAGCAGAGGTCCTAGAGTATCTCTATGATATGGGAGAATCTAAGGAGCCCTAAGCTGGTTTTCTCAAGAGAATAGCACCAAGCCAGCCTTGCTCTTGGGGCTACACAACTACCAGTATTTCTCCTGGTTCTAAATAGGCAGCCTCATGCCTAGAGATTAAGTCCTTAGCAGCCTGTATCTGGGTCCCTTTTTGGTGACCCTTGCTGTATCTCATTTGTCCTGGATTGGGTGCTGTGCTCTTGCTCCTGTTGATCCCCTGAAAGACCCAAACCCCACCTCTGAGCCATATTCTCCACGAGGCACAGTCCCTGCTACTCTCTACCCAGAGCAGCTCATTGAATTTCAGGCTGCCCAGACCTCTCTACCATGTGGGTTGTGCTCCACCCACCTTCAGTTAGTTCATTTCTCACCCCCGCTGGCACTGACCAGCCAGTCTGCTTCTTGGTCTGACTGTTTCTGCCAAGACCTTCTGGGAATGCCTGCATTGCTCCAGGGTTTCTGGCTGATCACTGAGTCCTTTCCAGTCTGCTGTCAACAGAGCCATCATTTTGAGATTGTATATATAATGTTGGAGACAAACAGATATACACACACACCCATACTCCCAAATTCACTTATCGGTTGAAAAGATTTCCACTACCTTCCTAAATTCATACTCTCCTGTTGGAGGCATGTATCATCATTTCTAAGTCTTCCAATGTCTAACTTGGAATTTTCTTTAAATCAAAGGGGTCCTCAGAGATCATTTACTCCAACCCTCTCATTTTATGCCTGGTCTCTATTTTACTACCCTCTGTTTATGCTTCTATTTAGAAGAGAGTGGCATAAGAGTTTTGTTAATGATCACTTTAACAAGGACTCCTTTTTGTCCATTAGTAAACTGCCGGGGTGCTAGCAGACTTTATGGAAGGTCTCAACTCAGCAATCAGTTACCATCAAAATGCGTGTACACATTGCTAAGATGAGATCATTTCCTTCCCTGGCCCAGAAAGGAAACGCATACACGACAGAAGCACACACCACTCGCGCACACTCCCATTCCCAATGTGATCCCTTTCTATCTGGAACAATCAAAATGCCTCCCAGCTGGAATGACAGCATCACTTTATTGACGCTGCAATAGGAGAGCGATAAAGCAGGTCTCAGCAGGCGCAGCA